TGATTGGATATCGGCTCCTGGCCAGACCGGGGGGCCAGTTGAGACTTGTTGTTGGCCCTTGTTGGGGTCCTGTCTTGTTTTTGCTGGATCCCAGGAGCAGACTAGTGCAAGCTGGAGGCATCTCTGGAGACCGTCAAAAACTATATGTTGTCTGTACTGGGACTGCCAGGGGCTTCATGGGATGCTCCGGCGGGGCCTCTTGGGGTCATCCTGGAGGCAATGCTGGACCAAGTGGGGCCATGGGCCAGCTGATGTTGTTTTGGTTAATAATTGCCGTCATGTTGGGCCACCCTGGGAGCTTTCATTCCCAACTGCATCCAACTGCGGTTCTGACTCTCAGAAGCAAGTCCGGCGACGAACGTCACGGACCCCGAGGACCCCCCGAGGTCCTCGAAATCCTCCTCCACAGCCCTCCAGGGTGCTGATCACAACAGCACCAGACTGGCCGATATCCCTGCTGCACATGACGGCACTCAAACTCCGGCTTCGAGGGCACGGCGGCGGAGTCAAGCCATGTTGCCAGACAACAGAGCCTGGCCGTCGGTCGGTGCAGCGTTGCCTCTCGCCCGCTTGGCCACGTCTGCAGAGGTCGGACGGCGCTCGGCAGAAAACACCATGCGCACCAGCTGCCACCAGCCCTGCTCAGGCCAGGGTGCCGAAAGTTCGGGCGCCGCGGGGCGGGGACCCCCCAGTCATCTATGGTCGGACGACAGGGGAGGGGGGGCCGTCCAGCAGCACTGCTGCGCCTGGAGTGCGGGTCGGTGCAGTGCCATCGGCATCAGAGCACCCCCGAGGTCCCGAGGTTGAAGTCGGGCATGTCCCTCTACGGAAGGAGTATTCAAAGATGGCCCAAAGATAGCCTGGGGACGATTTGTTTCAAAAACTATGCTTGGCCATTCCGGGACATGTTTGGCCCGTTTTTGCTTCCGTCCCAAATCCCCCTGTAGAGGGACACGCCCGACTTACCTTAGGTGCACCCCAGCCGTGCGCACCCCATACGCACGAGGCAGCACAGCACGCTGTGGGGGGGGGGTGGCGGCGGCGGGGGGATGGGAGAGACGGGGCGCGCACGAAACATCTGCCGCGTGCGCGCCCGGCTTGGGCTGCCCCGCCGTGCGGCGCTCCCCTCGACGACCCCGGGGGCGCCGACGGGGCGAGGCACGCGGAGTCGCTGATCCGCCCCCCACCCCCTCCCCTTGCTGCCACCCCTTCTCAGGAGGGAAAACACACACACACAGACACAAGTAGTCGTCGATCCCCCAGAGCATGTGGGAGAATATATGGGAAGTGTGGGGGGGGGGGGAAGACGAAAATCCGAAACATATGGAGAAAGATGGGTGATCCTTTTACAAGGGCTCCCTCGAGGGCGCGAAGTTATTCGCGCTTCGCGCTTCGCGGTCCTCGTTCCTTCTCCCCCTCCTCCTCGTCATCCTTTTCTCCCTTTGGGGGGGCGGCGCGAGGGCGCGAAGTTATTCGCGCTTCGCGCTTCGCGGAGCGCGAAGCGCGAAGTTGGGAGCCCTAGCTTTTACTTGTGTGTATTTCTCTCTGTGTGTCCCAGGGCCCCTTTGCCTTCGTCGTCCGACCCCGGCCTCCGATCTGCCCCGCCGCCGCCCACGGCGGCCGCTCGGGGGCGGCGGCCCGCCAGGCGTCGGAAAGAATTGGGCAGCGCTCACGCAGAGCATGCGGCGTGAAGCCCCTCTCAGCCCCTCCCCCCTCCCCCCCCCCGAGTGCAGCGCTGGGCTCGCGGCTCGCGTCCCCCCCGAGCTTGAGTGTCGGACCAGGGCTGCGTGCACTCCGGAGTCCACAAGAAAGAGGTGGGGGGCCCATTTTGGGGGGGTCTGTTTTGAGCTGTCTTGAGGGTTCGGGGGGGGGGTCTGGGCAAAGGGCCGCTCTTTCGTGGATGGTCTGGGGGGGTCGAAAACTTCTCGCCTGAGAGGGTTGTGACCCCCTCCCCTTTCTTACGACATCTGGAGTATACGTGCCCACTCTGGACTGCGGGGTGGGAGTGCTGCTTTGATTGTTTCCCTCGACCGTCGCGCCCAGCCGGTGGCGGGGATGGACCACGGCGGCGCCGAGCGGCTCGCCGCTCTGCTCGCGGAGCTGAGCGGCCAGCTGGAGGCCGGGCACCGCCGCGCGCAGGAGGCGCTCGCGGAGGCCCGCGCGGGCGGCCTCCCCAATGGGCCCCGGGAGCGGGGGGGTGCGAGAGCCCCAGACCTCCCAGCGCACCCGGAAGACCTCGGGACCCAGGCCCCCTCGAGTTACGAAAAAATCACGACGGGAGGTTTTTCATTATTTTTGGCCCTTGGGGGCCCTTACCGGCCTCGGGACCGTCAACAAACGACTCAGGACGAAAAACCTGTCCCGGGGAATGGGTCGAGACCTCGGGGGGTCGACCTCATGAAAAAATCATGACGTCGGGGGTCTGGGGACGGAGGTGTGGCGTCGTTTTCGGCGTCCGGGGCCGTCGCCGGGCCCCGGGACCGAGGCGGAGAGCAGAGCC